CAAGCAACGTATTGCCTGAATAGGCCGTAACTGCCCCCAACGATGGAAGAACTCATTTTCTTTGCGACAGAAGAACTTCAGCCAGCAAAACTAAACAGCAGATTATATCAATCAGTAAAGCTAGATCCAATTGCTTCTCAACCATCGTCATCTATGTACATTAGACGCAGCATGCAAGGCTTCTTGAGGAGCTAATGAAATATTTCCTCGCAACAGCAATCGATAACGCTAGAAGACAATCGTCCAACCAGCATAGCTTTAAAGCTTAAACAGACGGCAGCGTTGATCCGGATCAACTCGTTAATTCGGAATTATCTCGGGAAATAACTGCAGCCGATCCGGATTAAGTGCTAGAGTTAATTCCCAAACTTAACTCGGATGAAGGCAATATTCGATGACAACACTGACGAAAACTCAGAGAGCGTAGAATACAGAGAAAGTATAAAACTAGCATGGACATATCATCAGCAATGCGGTCACCATACTAATTCAGATAGGAATCTAACTAAAATTGAATAAGAACTTATTTGAATTAATACGGTGACTGCATTACCGACGACAAGGTGAATGTCCGCGCTAAGTAATTTTGCTTTTTCTTTGTGTTCTACGCTCCCTGAGCGAACAAAATACGCAATCGAAGCAGCAAACTACTTCATCCGCGGTAGCCGAGTGGTGAGGGCTGCGTACTACAAGCCCAGGTTCGATCCTCGGTTGGAGCGATTGCCAGAAAATTTTGTTATTCTTTTATAAAAATATGGTTCATACTTTAATCATTTCATTTCATTTAATTTCATTTCATTTCATTTATTAAGTCTATGATTTACAAATCTTACAGACAAGATGTACAAGCTTTCATCTTAAGCGTAAATTCGATATTTAATATTCCTCTCCTTTCTCCTGTTACGTCTATTTCGCTCTCTTTTATTTATTGTTTTTTTTTTTACTATTCGCTCACTGCCAATCAGCTAATCTTACAGACAATGGCGATTAAACGTTCATCGATGATTGCAATCAGTTATTAACATTACCACATTGGCAGCAAAAGCACTTATGTACATATGTATGTAGGTAATCCAGCTATTATTAAACTATCTTTCATTTCTATGCATTTCCTCAGTGCTTGAAAAATGCATTCACCTATGCAGTCGTTGGGATCACTTGTAGTATTTATGTACGTGTTGCCATCCCCTGCCCATACCGAAACACGCCCCGTACCCTCTTTTCACTCTCACGATCCATCTATTTCCCTTTTAGTTGTTTTCCTGCTTATCACCTCAACTACTTAGCTTGTAATTGTTTTTATTTACTCGTTTATACATATCGATGTAAATATGTATCGGACATTAAAGTGATCGCCAATTTGTGTCTATTAATATTTGAGATTCAATTATGCAAGAGACTGCCTTTTCAGTGCAATTAATTGCCTGTTATACATATATTTTTACACACTTCATGGTGGTCTCATACATATCATTTCAGTCCATTTTATTGAAAAGTGTTGAGTGGCAAGCCCGGTAATTGAGTTTTACCCATGCAATGTAAATAAAAATCGATGGAAATCGCCATTGGAAAGGTTGAAGTGCACTCAATGCACAATTTTCAAATCAATTTACTTATGCATATGTAGTTGTTATTTGTCTGGATGTGCTCAATATTTCAATTTACAAACAAATATACATCCATATTTATATTTGTATATTTTTTCTTTTCAATTCGGGTGTGCTTTGTGCGGCGCTGTGATGAGAAGATAAGTAATGCTTTTACTTGAATCACCATTTCTCAAGTGTTTCACCTTAATTCGCTCTAAATTTAATCACTTACATAAGCAAAGCCACATATACGCCCAAAAGGGGTTAGCCTTAAATAAACAATTAAGTTGTTTTGTATGGGAAACACAAAATGCTTATCTCGAAATGTTTATTGATTTGATAGTTCAACTAGCCTGAAGTGGAATTATACGATAGTTTGCAAATGAATTTATGGAGCTGGAATGATTGATCTATATTTGCTTATCGATACTTGAAGCATTTTAGCTTTTTACAATTTTCAGAAACTTTAAAACTTATAAATGCATATATATTTTCTTTCACAGGTATGCTTCTGTTTGAGCTCAATTTGTAAAGCATTGAAAGCATAAGCCTGTTGAGAATTGCAGATAAAAGAATAAAATCTTTGAACGGAGTCCATCGAGTTCATTAAAGTATCGAAAAAGGAGATAAATTCATCTGAACGGATGAAATAAAGTTTTATTAGCTAATCTACCAACCTCCTTTCATAACAGAAAAGTTTCCGGTTGGAATGAGAAACTTAATGCAAATGGCGAACGTGTCAGAAATCTGTTCAATATGGCAAAAATATGAGCTCCCCCCGAGGCCTCCCGTGAGCACATCGCATTCAAATGGGGTAGGACTATTAAGGAGATGGGATGGCAAATATTTTCCAAGTTTTTCGTTAGAACAAGATAGGTTGACTCCGGCCTGCCAGAAACATGGGTTCCCCAGAGTGAGACCTCAAAGCACATCGGGTTCAAACTTTGAAAGGAATATAGGTCACCAATGTCATTGCTTGAAATTAAGAAAATGCCCACAGCTGCAGGATGGTGTTCCGATAAATAGAAATAAAAAGTTTTGTGGGGAGAACACAATCTTACGGGATCCCTTGTTAAATTTCTCTTGGTTTGGTGTAATGATCTTGAAACAACACCGATGAGCAAATACCACTCTGATTACACCACAGACCGCCGCTTTTGCTCAGGCGGGAGGGAGGACTTTTCGATGGTCTAGTGCTACTTATGTAGATTGTTCCCTCATATGGGGGATTTGAGTTTAAGCTGAGATTTTTCTGAGTGTTCTTTCTTGATGGTGGAGGAACAGTATCTCCGGTAGCAGAAAGCAACGAAGACCGCTAACAACCCCGGCCAGGCATCGGCGATAGAGAAAATTATAGACAAACACATAGGACATTGAATGGGTCCTTGACAATTCAGCTGGCAGAAATGGCAATGGCAAAAAAAATCTTCTGTGAGATTGTTCAAATAGCAAAGAGCACCAGGCATAGACCATCCATTTCTAGAGGTGGAGAAATGCCCACGCATTAACTTTATAACACTGGGAGGAATAGGGATAGAAATTTGCTCCGAAGTGAAATATCTACGGATAATTTTTGACTCCAAAATATTTTAGAGGCAGCACGAAGGCTACGTTGTCACAAATGCCACACGAGCTGTAAAGATACGCAGAAGACTCGGTGGCAAATCAAGATGTTTCAAAAACTGACGAGGGAATATATAACCTAAAGCAAAGATCTCCATTCCCACGAAGAATTACACCTATTTTCCATGCCATCAATGTTTATGCAGACATAAATTTGCAGACACATTTAATACAACACAACACAGTACAACAGATGTAGGTGCCATACAGGGCAGACGAGGTTTTGTGAGGAATACACACATACTACATATTCTATTCAAGCTAACGAAATACCGTAATTTTAGTAAGTGTGTGAGAGTAATCTCTGCATATATACTTTTAGTTTCTCGTTATCAAGTTTTTATTGTTTCAAGTAGTAAAAAATTTTGATTATTCAAAAATTACTTTTAATTGCTTAGAATTAGTCTCAAGGCCGCAAGAATTTTACGACATTTCCTCTTAAACTTTTCGATGAAGAGCTTGTGTGGCTTTATTATTTAACAAAAATTCTATGTCAATGTCAGGGACTACTAAGTATACGTATATAAATGTACATGTCTCCATATGTATGCAGGTACATTAGGGTGCATCACACTCTATACAAAACAAAAAAAAATCCACTGCAGGATTATACATTTTGTTATATTTTAAGACCTTCGTCTTAATATTTTTTGGGCCGACTTGAAAACACCCCCAAAAATTTCATTATTTTGATTCCTTTGATAAAATGTTCGAACATTTTTATGCAGACCTTTCAAGCTAAAACTCTTCTATCATCTGAGTGATTTTTTGGAAATAAATATTTTCAAACACAAAGTGTTTGATAAAAAAAAAACTAATATTTGCAGGTCTTTTCAAATCGGCCCAGCTCACGTAAATCTTAATATTTGCCCGAAACATTTTGGAAATATTTAAATATAATAAATATAGTATAATTCCGGTGAAAAAAACGCGACTTTTTTTGGTGGGGCACCCTAGTGTACATATATATGTATGTATGTGCGCATCTACGCACATAAGCATTCATAAATTTGCATCGAGCCGTATTTGAATTTACAATTGAACTTATCATATTTCAAAACAAATAGTACACGCCTATTTGCGCAACAAATTGCATAATTTACATATTAAATTTACACATTCAATAACATATGTTTGAGCTTTGCTGTCGTGGGCCTCATGCCTAGGCTTTATTCCTTTGTTTCAGAAAAATATTTTCATATCAAATTCCATTTTTTTTAAACAAATTTTTTCTGAACAAAGTCTGACTGTCAACTGTTTGCATTTAGGTTTTGTTTAGCGCATTTGGTACGGCTGTCATATTTTTTTATTTATTATTAGATTTTTTTTTTGTTTAAAATGATTTATTGTCAAAACGAGCCGAAAAAGAAAAAAAAAGAACGAAAGGAAAAGGAAAGAGGAGAGGAAATATAAAATTTTCAATTATTCCTCTACAACTAATAAAATGTTTGGTGGCATACCAAATAACAGTCAAATATTTTCCAAAAACATAGCGATTTTATAAAAAGAATTAGTTTAAAAAATTTGATTTTATTTTATAGTAATTTTTTTATCATTTGATCATCGCTAATTTTTCTTAATTTTTTTGTATGTCATTTTTTATAACTGTTTTTCTTGAATTTTTTTTTTTCAATTTTTATTTGCGTTTTTTTTAATTTTCTTTAAAATTTATTTTTTATGTGTTTGCCTCTTTTTGTTAACTTTTTTTTTTTAAATAGAGCTTTTAGCAAAATCTTTATTTACCTATCACAACACAAAATAAATAAAATATTCACTAAATTCATCCACAACCCAAACAAAACTAATTTTCATAAGATGTTTGCCTTAAAAATCACCCGCCGTTCTTTGCGTTACGATCTACGAAAATGCCATCTCAAAACTGAATCTGATTCACGGCCAAACGGACGAATGCTGAGCACGCGAGCGTACATAAAATGTCTCTACTTGACTATTTAATTTGTATGTATGTATGTATGTATGTATATTTGTGATCGACAGTGAAGAAAACCAGCTGTGCGTCGCCAAGACGGAATAGCATAGGCACGATCGACTAACACACGCACACACACATTCTCCCACTGAAACACCTCCCTCCACCCCTTCGAACCAGGTCGGAGTGACGGTAATGGCTATGAAAAGTCACTGAAACGCCACCGCCAGTCGAGCTCTGCCGATCACGCTACCCCCAAAGTTCCCACTCGAAGTAATCGCTTGAATGGAAGGCGCTGCTGTACATGCGCCTAAATAAGTGTGTATTTGTGAGTTCTGAGCATTGGGGTTTATTTGTATGCAACTATGGTCGTAAATTATTTAAGTACTCATACTATAGGCGGGAGCGTGGAGAAGCGTCGTAAAAAGAATCATTTCTTTTTTATAGTATTTATCATTAACGCAGTACGTACATACGTACGATCACCATAGACGATCAGCGGATGAGAAATAAACAAAAGTTTCTTGAAAAACATCTGCTTATTAGAGAATTCGCTATGAATTTGCGCTTGAGTAAGCAGACGTGAGTAAGAAAATCATAAAAGAGTGAAAATTTCAGGCGAAATTATTTCAAAAATAAATGCTTGTTGATATTGAAAATATTTGCAGAATTTACATACACAGACGAAATTAAAATATCAATGTATTCAACGTGTTGTATGACTAACATCACTCTGGAGCAGACTTGAGAAAAATTTGTTTGTTTTGGCTTGGAACAAACATGGCAAGACAGAATTACTACTTGAGAAATGCCTACCAAAGAAAATTTAATTATTTGTTTGCCAATTTTTAGTTTCAACGCCATAAGGCTGCTTCCGACTACAAAATGCTAAGTCAGACCACTATCAATATGTAGTTTGAGCTTTGATAAGAAACCCGTATCCGGAGCATGAGCTATCACAATGGACCGATTGGGTCTAAGTGTGCCTATCTCCTACGCTGGATGAAGGCAGCCGCTTCATGAGCAGTCGCGCCCTAGAGGCTTTATTGCTCACTTGGAGCTCTCTTGGCACTTCTTGGACAATGGTAAATCCGGCAGCGATGAACCGATTACCGAGGCAATCGATCTAGCACCTGAAATGCCTAATTTACTATGCCAGATTCGTATGAAACCCTGCCGACGTGGGCCTTATTCAAGAGAGTTTAGCTAACCCAAAAACACTTCGACTTTTTTGAATATAATTTTTCCATTCCGTGTGAGTTTTAGTGTTGTAGAAAAAGTCTTAAAACAATATAATTAGATGCTAATTGGAAAAGTCTTTCTTGAGGATGAATTCCTTCCCGCTTCAGAAAAGGATGTTTTTTAACACCTGGAGTCTTTAACAGGCGACTTCAAACCCTGGATTGATGACAAGCAAGGTTATGTGGAGTGTATGGTGGTATTGGAAGTGAATTATCCATTCAAAACTGCTACAATATGGAGAAACGACCAATTTGGTCACACTTCGACCGTTTGAGCGAATCAATCAAGAAATAGCGCCCAGAATAGGCCAACAGAAAAGGAGTTGTGTTACATTTTACTAAAGCCAGGCCACAACAGACTACTTTGATGACTGCGGAACAAATTGACGGAACTTGGTTGGGAAGTTTTGATACAGCCACCGTATAGCCCGAACCTTGGACCATCTGACATCCATTTTTTCCGACCTCTTGATAGTAGACAATTATTTTTGAAAAAATTATATGTTAAGGTCGAATATATACTCGACGACATCCTTCTAAATTTATATGCTGCTTAAAAAAAATAATGCATCCAAATGTGAACCAAAAAATTTTAATTTCTACGGAATTTTTTTCTTTCATTTGGTGCCCATAGTGTTATTCTACATTGCTCCGAATTTTTAAAAATAATTTTTGGAATTGATCATAGCTTTGAAACTACAAAGTTCTTTCGTAAGTTGGATTCAAATTATTCTTACTTCCTGAATTATAAAAAATTTCTGTTTATTTTCTTGATTTTTTTCTTTTACCTACAACTAGCCTTTCATTGATATTTTCCTTTTAAGTTCAATTTAGTAACAATGTATGGAAAATTAAATTCGATATACAAATAATTTTTAATTTTCATAAAAATCAATTAGTTTTTCCATTGTAAGGCATTTCGTATACTGACTCGTTTTGTAATGTTAACTAAGCAATTATTACGTAATACAATGTACATACTTATTTTTACAATTTTTTGCAAATTTAATTTTTTTTCATAATTCATTGCTATTCAAGATACTCAATCACACCAGCCGTGCTAAATTCATTTTCATTTTTAGAAATACAAACTTTTACAGTAGATATGATGTGAATATGTATGCGACTAGATACCCATTTATGTAAGGGTGTACATTAGAGTGTCTCAGCAAAAAAAAATATTGCCGGTTTAAACAACGGAATGATAAAATTTATTATTGTTTAAGATACCCGCCAAAATATTTCGCAAAAATATTAAGATTTAAGGTAGCTAAACCGATTTAAAAATAACTGCAAAAATCTGATTATTTTGATACCGCTGATAATTGTTAATCAGTTGAAAACCTTTAAAGCTTAAACTCTTCTATCATCTGAGGCGACTTATAAGAAAAAAAATTTAAACTAGTTTTATTTATTTAAAAACAAATCTAAGGTATTTTAAAATCGGCGCACCTCACTTAAATTTTAATAGTTTTCAGAAATATTTTGGCGGAAGTGTTAGGCTATAAAAAATGTTATAATTTGGATGGAAAACAGTACCTATTTTTTTTTTTTTTTTTAATGGACAGTGATGCCCCATAATATAAATGTATATGTGCATATGCAAGTTTATACACTTGTATGCAGGTATGTACATATGCAGATTTTAGCGTTTTTCTTCAGCATTTCCGGTTAGCGCTAAAACATTGAAATTTTGCCAAAACAGCTTTTCTACAGCTTTCAAGACAAATGTTAT